AAAAAAGTTGGCACTGCGCATGCGCAAAACCAAATTTTGAAATTGGCGTTTGATTTTCCTTTATCCCAAGTGCCTATGTATCAAATTCGTTTAAATTCTTCCATAAATAAAAAAGTTGGCACTGCGCATGCGCAAAACCAAATTTTGAAATTGGCGTTTGATTTTCCTTTATTCGAAGTGCCTCTGTATCAAATTTCGTTTAAATTCTTCCATAAATAAAAAAGTTGGCACTGCGCATGCGCAAAACCAAATTTTGAAATTGGCGTTTGATTTTCCTTTATTCGGAGTGCTTATGTATCAAATTTCGTTTAAATTCTTCCATAAATAAAAAAGTTGGCACTGCGCATGCGCAAAACCAAATTTTGAAATTGGCGTTTGATTTTCCTTTATACCAAGTGCCTCTGTATCAAATTTCGTTTAAATTCTTCCATAAATAAAAAAGTTGGCACTGCGCATGCGCAAAACCAAATTTTGAAATTGGCGTTTGTTTTTCCTTTATCCCAAGTGCCTCTGTATCAAATTTCGTTTAAATTCTTCCATAAATAAAAAAGTTGGCACTGCGCATGCGCAAAACCAAATTTTGAAATTGGCCGTTTGATTTTCCTTTATCCCAAGTGCCTCTGAATCAAATTTTCGTTTAAATTAAAACAAAGTGGCCACAATAGCGCATTTTTTTTTATTTTTGTGGAAATGCGCTAAAAATGTTATAGTGCAGCATGATTATGTCACTAACAAGACCTATGACAAATATTTTGAATTTCATTTGTAATGAAGTTTTGATGGCGGATTTTATCACCCGTCATAAAAGCAAGTTATGCTTGAAACGCATACATTATTTTATGCACGGGTAAATGTATGTTATTAAAAAATCACAAGAAAGAACTTACACACGGTACCGATCTATGTACGAGTATATAATATTTATATGAAGCGGACAATAGGGACAATTCACATTTTTAGGTTTTGCTACAAACGGGTTCTACTCATTTCATTAATACATATAGCATTTTTCAAAAAATTCAAAAAAAATGATGAACTAATTTAAGAGGAAGTTTCTAATCGCTAACCGCTAGAGGCTAGAAAACGTACCCTAGAGCGAGACTGTCTAACCCCTTTTTAAATTTAACAATTTTGACGATTGTAATTAGCGACAGTATAATTCTATTAATTTATTATTATTTTATATAAATGTCATGTATAATTGGAATCCAGTATATTTTAACACGTACCTCGCCATAATCTAGTAAACTATGTAGCACATTCAATAATGAAGTGAATGCAAAATTCCAATCCCGACTTCAAATATCAAATTTTATGGCAAATAACGGCCACGATCAAATTCCTTGAATTACAAGAAGAATTACCTAAATAAATTTTGAAAACACCTGAAACAAACTTTGGGTACGGATCAACAAATTGATTGAGACATCTATCTGGATCGTTACAGGGTTCGAATAAACACACGATTTACATGAATTAACAAAGACAACATTTATTCAAACACACGTACAAATCAAATTAATAATAAAATTCTACCAATCAAAGTGGACCGGGTTTCCCCTCTCGGTGATCGATACCAAGAAATTTTTGCCACATGCAACCTTCTCTACGACATCCTTCTTCCCTAATGCATTCAAGTTTAGACTGTATAAGCTTCAAAAAGTGGTGTTATTAAAATGTTAGTCACATGGAAGTGTCGCTTATTTGGTGTTTAAGTCGAACAAAACCTAAAATTGTATTGTATATTATACCTGTTGTACTACTTTTATTACATTCTCTTAATATACACGTTAAACCCAACATATTTCATTTTAGTAGACGAAGAAGTTAACATAACCTCCTACAAAAATTTACTGTCACCTTTGTTTATTAGGGGAAAAAGAGCTGTCACATAAAATTTTTCAGTTTCACCAACTTATGAATTACAAAATATACGTAAAATAACACCAGATTTCCAAAAAATGAGGTGAACTTTTAATTAAGATTGTGGAAAATTTAGGCCCTCTTCCGCAAATTTTTTTAATCTAAACGTGTTATTAAGGTGTCCTCTATCCATTTCTATCAATTTCATGATCATACCTGGGGGGCTTATTAGCGTAACGTACCCTTCTTTCTTCTTCGGGACACAAGGAACGTCATTTTACTGCATTGAATTAGACTGACTGGCTACAACAAGAACGATGAGACGATGGCTGTTCGAACAATAGACGAAAACAACAAAATTTTAACTTTTCAAACTTTCAACATAAACTCGACTGATTTCTTGACAAAAAGTTCTAAAATTTGCTTGACGAGCAACTAAGTTTATCAAAAATCAAAATCAGAACAACTTTGTGGACACTAAAATCAGAACAACTTTGTGGACACTAAAAAGGCAAACTTGCCACAAAATTTTGCGCGCATCTGTTAAAAGTTTAACGAACAGCAACCCGGCCTCGAAATTGGCAAAAGACCCGTTTCTAACACCAACTTCAATATTTAAAGTCACTTTTCTACTTTCCAAAATTCGAAAATGTTCCTCCAATTACCGAACACGTAGCAACCGACAGGCAATCACGCGCCCCTTTCTTGGCCCTCCTTAGGTCACGTATCCAAATTTATACGCTAAATTATCTCATCTCTGATAACATTTTTCTACGAAAACACATTATTTTCGCTAATAAATTAAATCATCCTTTTAACAAAAGTAATAAAAGTACTCATAATTAAAATAGAACTTTCACTTTAATGATTTAACAACGCAAAATTGATAACAAAGTTGACGATAAATTGCCTTACATTACATAATGGTTGCACCTGCCACGGGGGGGGGGGGTCAATTCTTACATGCAGAGTTTTTTTATTTGATAATTAGATATATTTAACATTATTTTCTACATTTCGACAGACTAATGCTGAATGTTGACGTAGAGCGCCCCACAGATCCGTAGGGGCCGGTATTTCTAGTATTACTAATATTAAGCTATATAAGCTCTCATTCGAATTTTACAATCTTGTTAAAGTTAAGAATTCCGAAGGCGAGTTCCGCCCATTCACATACCTCACAATTATTTAAAACGTATTGGTTCACTGGCCCATAATTATATTGGAACGCGCACTCCGTCGATTAGCGCGATCCGAGAGAGAGGGCCACAAGGGGATCTCTGTCCTACTCTCGCGCATGCATAGAGCAGCCTATTTCATATGTCAGGGAGGTATTGCATTAGGTTCAAAAATGACCTCCCATTTTTTTTACGGAAATACAGGTTTTGAAGCACCAGGAATTCGAATCCAACAAAACCTTGATGATGTGGATCGGTCAGTCGGTTTGTCGGTCTCCCTCATCTTCGGCTAAACGGCTGAACCGATTGGAACCAATTTAGTACACATATTCATAATCATAGGCATAAAAGGCCGGAATCGTGCACGCGCAGGGGTGTGGGTGGTATCTGTGTATACATATGGGGTATGTTTACTTTTAAAAAAAAATGATGTGGCTAGCACAGATACTACGCGTTAAATTCTTCCCTTGTATGTCTAAGAATATGTGTAGGTACCAAATTTGGTTCCAATCGGGTCAGCCGTTTAGCCGGAAATGAGAGTACCGCTGGACCGACAGACCGATAGACAGATCAACTACACCGACATCATCGAGATTTTATTTGATTCGGATCCTGGTGCTTCAAAACATGTATTTTCGTCAAAAAAAGGAGTGTAATTTTGTACCCCAATGCAATACCGCCCTTACTAATGTGCGGGTGGTAAAAATTCTCTGTATGTGCATATAAGAAATAATTTAATCGAAATAAAAATGAAAGAAAGAAAAATTATAACAGAAAATGTTGGAATATCCACCCGTAAAACGAGACGGATCTACAAAGCTTTCTCCAGTTTTATTTTACCAAAGTTACACACTGCTTGCGTACTAAAATAAGCGACAAAATTTCCATTTTCATGAAAGCTCAACTTCAACCAGGCGTAATTAGAAAAGCATATTAAAATAAAATTCAATAAAATGTAGACGTAGTTGACTAAAATTTCCATATTCTCTACGCTTCAGATCGCCGAGATTCATAGTTTTCTGGGTCTTTTATAAATTAATGGTTATATAAAACGCTCCCTTATACCGCAAACGGCACTACGAACCTTCCATCGTAAGATATGTTGTGGAAAATGTCGCAAAAGTATATCAAATAATGTTTCATGAGGCAGAAACTTGGGATTTTCTTTAGCAGCTGTTTTTCGTTTAACAACCGTGTATTTAATGTGTTATCACTTGAGCGAGTTTCTATAAGGGAAATTTACCGTAAGGATGCGTGTTAGCAGTGATAACATAGTAACGTTTTTGAATGTTTCTGGTTGCCGTATTTGTGAGATTTCAATTTTCTACAAAATCGTACTCATATTATTTTAAATGCACAGAAGTTAGGCATATTACGCCATCTCCCAAACTTGGATGTGCACTAAAATGTAGTTGCGTTCCCCATCCCTGTACCTACATTCGTCCTTTTTCCTGCAGTTGCTTCCCTAGGTATACGAAACTGCAGTACAGAGTGCTCTGCATTCAATAAAGCGGAAACGTATGTGTTCAAATCAATTAGCACTCCATAGATGGGACTGATGGCAATGAATTTGAAAAGAGTGATTAGAAAACTACAATTCCTTATAAACACAATATTTTTACATTCTTTTTTTGTATCATATCATTGTGTATAACTTCAATTAAACGATTAGAATTATTCTGAGTCGGGTACCTAGTAGGAGAGGGAAATTAATGTGGTAATGTCTTCGGTAGCTTCTGCCATTTTGTTTAATCAATGTTTAGTCATTGATTAATGATTACACACTAGTTAAGTTAAGTTTGACGTTTGAGATACATTACAGGGCTGATTGGTAGTTTTTTAACCACAATTACTATAGTCAAAAATATCTGTATCCCTAAAACAATATCTATTAAGTATATTACAAATACTATAGGTAATGTATAAAGTAGTATAGTATAAATTAGTATGTTATTTTCATTAGAGTCGATTTTCAAGGTCATCAATATCGAATTCTTCTTCTGAAGCTTCATCTGACTCCTTCACGCCCGACTCCTCCGCGCCCGACTCCCCCTCGCCCGACTCCTCCACGTCCGACTCTAATTGCACAGTATCGACTTCTTTCGTCTCTATCTCATCTTGAATAATTTGCACAGTTTCCGCCGCCGCTTGAGATATTTGATGGGATTCTCTCAGCACATGCTCGTATTCTGAAACGGAAGTAGTGGAACTTGAAGCTGTTTCTAATTCGGTACTTTCACCAAACACCTCTATTTCGTCTTCGGATGTCTCTGGCACTTCCTTTGGAATGAAAAATTCATCCACTGTGACAGATTGCGCTATCTCTTCTACGTTTTCATCCATTTCACTGATTTCCGATTGGCTAATTACCGGCGGAACATAATTAGCCAGTAAAGTTTCGAAACTGGGCCCCATTTGTATTTCCTTATGATTTCTTGTGGGAAACTTGGATCTTAAGACAACCGGTTTTGGCACAAGTCCCAAGTCCCCTTGAGAATACAGTAGAGAAACGGACTCAACCGATTCTAAGGAAGAATGTAATGGTTTTTCTTCCTTGGCTCGGCTCATTGAAATGATAAGGTTATTGAGTAGAGTTTCACGATTAGGCGCTTTTGCGGCCCTTTTAGTTGGTGTCGGCTTCTTCATTAACTCCACTTTTATGGACATTAAAGATTCATATAAAATCGTCGTTAAACGGCCCAACTCATCTTTACAATAATCGAGTTCCGTTTTTAATGCTCCACGTTCACATCTACTGGCATGCAGATTTTGTTCCAATAGGCAGATGTGGAATTGGCGATTCTCCTTTTCCTTCAGTAGGGTGCCAAGTTCACTTCTTAGCTTAATTGAATCGGCTTCTATGTTTTTGTATTTGCGTAACCTTCGTTTCATATCTTCATACTCAGACGTTATTTTACAGATAAGCTTAGTTTGAGTTGATGACCTAGAGACAGCTTTCTTCTTTTCTGTATTATGCAGCTCTGCTTCCAATTTAAAAGTCTTGTTACTCTCCTTAAGAAGCTCATTTTCGTCGTAAAGTCGTTGGTGCGTGTCAATCATCGTATTTAATTCGTTGTTAATTGCAATGTTTTCCCTTACAACCCTATTAGTAGTAGCAGCAATTCGAATTTCAGTTACATTTTGAAAATCTGATGAGAGTTCCATCAGGCGAGCTTCCATATCTCTTTTTAATTGATCTTTTCCCATAACAAACTTCTTCTCAATGTCATACATTTCTCGTTTATGCCTAACTTCCTGCTCATCAAGTGCTTGCTCCTGTGCTATGAATTTCTTCATCAATTCTTCCTTTTGTTGTCTAAATTCGTCTAAGGAATTTATCTTTCCGTTTAACATCTTTATTTCAGAGGTTAGCTGTTCATGCAAAAGTTTGTAGTCTGCCTTCATTTCTTTTATGACAGACTTACAGTTGAGGTCATCTTGAACACGTGCTTCCTCCAACTGTGTGATTCTTGTATTTAAATCTTTATTCTCCTGGACCTTGTCTTGCATCACTCGTTTAAGGTAACTTATGACATCTGAGCGGTCTTCGTCTAAGGTTTTGTAACGGGTTTCTAGTTCTTCGTTTTTATTTTCCAGTTCTTCGTTCAGCGATCTAATTCTTGCTAATCGTCTGTTCAAATCCTCGATTTTTAGTTCATAAAATGCTTTATCAACTGCCGTGGCAACACTGATATCTGGTGTTTTGGCATTCTTTACCATTCCACCCTTTTTTGCCTTTGGCATTGTGTATTAGGCGGTATTTAATTTAATATATAAAAAATTAGCAATTACTCTCTGTAAAAAAAATAGTTTTGTTGTTGACCATGACATTTATAACTTTGACATTTCAATTATTGTATACGTCAATAGTATAAATATTCGACAAAATATTGATCTTCTTTGAGCTCGCCTAGTGCGCGAGCATTCAAGTGTCGGATTAATCACCATAGTCTGGCTGCCGCAGCCCTGCTGCCTCATACGGTATTGGCCTTAAATTGAAGACAAATTTACTAGTGGGATCGGATAACATAAAAATATTTCAGTACTGGCGGGAACATGGCTTTTTTCAAAATAGCTTTTGGATAGATCAAAATTAACAAGTTAAAAAGTCATTATACAAACATAAATGACGGGAGCGTGTTTTCCTCCTAATAATATTAATGCTAGGACCGGAAAAGTAGGCACGAGATTCTTTCCCCATACAGTTCTACTTTCATTCAAAGTACCTACATTAGTAGGTATGAATATGCACTACTAGTGAGTTACCATGACTGTTAAAGTTTGGCCGCCCATCGAATATTGTTTATTGGGGTCCTCTAATCAAATTTGGAAGGGAGGCCGGTGTATCCACCGGTAACTTCCGGTTTGATGACGTCACAAAGTGCGCAATTTCGCTAATTCGGAAAAATGCTTCTATCTCAGTAACCACTTGTCTGATTTTCATGATCTTGGGCTCATGGGAAAGATAATAAAATAAGACAGAACTTTTATGAGAAATGCAAATCGCGTTTCGCGAACGGTTTTCGCGAAATTTGCCAAAATTTGAAAAATTCGCGAATTATTTTTTTTCTTTATGACACAGGTAAAACGTTATTAAAACTTATAACTTACGAATAAACATTTTTATAACCTGTTTCACCTACGGTTTTTCGCAAAATTTGAAAAAAATTTCTTTTTTATTTGGATACTTCAGGGGATACTTGTAAATCACAAGAAACATTTTTGGAATTTGTTTCTTTCTCTTTTAAACCTAATAATCCCGGCCAATAAAAATTGCTTCCATTATACTTACCGAGGTGTAATCCGTTTTTATAGTACATCAGCTACCCATATTTTACCTGTATAATGTTTAAAAAATGGACTGCTAATAAAACAATATGCAAGAAAATACAGTAATAAGGAAATATTAATGTAGGTTAGAAATATTGAAACAATAAGTTCTGTTCAAATAGTATATTGTATCTCATAGGTCCCTTATTCTCTTACCCTATTGTATCACAACAGTGTAGGTAATATTTTTTTCTCCAACCACCTGAATAAGACGCTATTTTGTCACACTTTTTGGTACAAAAAATGGGCGATTTCGGGAATCGTCGATATAACCATGGTAACTGTCAAAAAGTAGGTAAGTACTTTTCGGACTAGTCCAAAAAGTAAAAATTTGATTGCTTGGGGTTTGTTGTCCATATGAGAAGAAGCCTTCGATCTTTCTTTTGCCAACCATGTTCAAGTGCATCTGGATCTGGTGCGCTAATTACTGCTTTGAAAACCGATACCCAAATGCTTGCCTAATAGATTGCTCGTTTGCAGTGTAGAAGTAGTGCATTTTTGGTCGGAGGAATAATTTCTGGTTTCGATGGTAAAATAGGCATTAATTTCCGTAGTCCATTAATTGTATTCGCTCCACCTCCATAGATCTTTATACAAAGTGATTCCAACGCCGTAAATTCGGCAGACTCTACCTCAAGTGAAATGAATTTAGCTTGACTAAACCACGAGTTCTTAGAAATATTAATGCACCAATCCCCAGACCAAATTCGACGACATTCAAAAAGTTTAACTTATATTTAGCCCCAACATTTTTTTAATTATTTGCCTAGAGAAATACAAGAAATAAGGAATAGAAATAAATATCTGAGAGATTTGAAGAGTTTCCTACTAGAAAATGACGTTAGCAGGTTCTTTGATCATGTATGTTAGTAAATTAGTCTTATTATTGTGATGTATGAATGCGACTATATTTTTAAGTTGGTATTGTAGTTTAGTTTGGTAACAATAAAAATGAATTAATCATGTCCGTTTCCGTAAGTCAGTCATGTACCTACCACGTTGTATTACCTTAGTTAGTTTTGTGTTAATATAGAGTCTTTCGGTCAATGTCCAGTTATTTACACGAACCCAGTACCGCCAAATATAATAGTGGGCAAACATAATAGTGGCGACGAGGATGGCGCTAATCGGCTCAATCGAGCATTTCAAAGGAAATGCAGAGGAGTTTGAAATGTACATAGAGCGTGTCGAGCACCTATTTTTAGTGAATTGCGTAGAGGACAAGATGAAAGTATCGTGGTTTATTACCCTAGCCGGTCCAGTCGTTTATAGTACTTTAAAAAATTTGGTGGCACCACAAAATCCAGCAGAGAAGAGTTACGAGCAGGTGATTACCGTGTTACGAGGGCATTATGTACCAGAAAAGTCGGAGATAAGTGAACGGTTTAGGTTTAACAAATGTAATCAAAAGTCAGATCAGTCAGTCGCAGAGTACATAGTGGAACTTAAACAGTTGTCAAACACATGCAAGTTCGGGGCCTTTTTGGAAGAAGCGTTACGTGACAGGCTAGTGTGTGGGTTATATTCGGAGGCGCTACAAAAAAAACTCTTAGCGGAACGGGAGCTAACATTTGCAAAAGCATGCACCATGGCACAAGCGCATGAAATGGCAGCAAGTCAAGTCAAATTATTGTCGGCAGGTGAGGTACATAGCAGAAAACAGAATCCAGTCGAGTGTCATATAATACAAAGGGGTCAAATAAAAGACAGTCATCAAGTAAGCAGTCAGGCAGTAAACCGTCAACAATCCAGCAGTCCGAACAGTCTAAGCAGTTTACAAGATCATGTCATCGGTGTGGCAGGAGCCACAACCCAAATTTGTGTCCGGCAGCCCAGTGGGAATGTTTCGTCTGCAGAAAGAGAGGACACACTTCCAAAGTTTGTCGGAGTAAGGGGCAGATAAAAGCAGTGGAGGAGTCGCAAGGAGAATCCAGTCAACAGCAAGTCCAAGTCAATACAGACTTGTATCCTTTAAATAATGTTAAGGGTATAAGTACAGAAAATTTGCCTCACAAATTGAAATTAAATGTGTCTAATAGAATGATATGTTTTGAAGTCGATACAGGGGCATGTAAAACTGTTATGTCTGTAGATGTATTCAATGATAAGCTAAGTGGATGTTATTTGAGTCAAGTGTCGTATAATTTAAGCTCAGTCACAGGTCAAGTTATAAAAGCAGTAGGGGAATTGAAGGTAGAAGTTTTAAAAGGGAAGAAGAAGTATGTTACCTTTAACTATAGTCAAATCTGAAAAGAATTTTATGCCTTTGTTAGGCAGAGATTGGTTAAATATCTTATTTCCAGGATGGCAAGGTAATTTTACATTAGCTGCGCTTTCGTGTAGTCAAGTCGAAAATTTAAAACAAATGTACAAGTCAGTGTTTAACTCAGATTTAACCACCCCTATTAAAGGATTTGAAATTAAGCTAGCCATGAAAGACAATGTGAAACCAATATTTAAAAAAGCTTACAACATGCCATACGCATTAAGGCCAAAGGTAGAAAATAAATTAAAGGCGTTAGTAAAAACAGGTATCATTGAGTCAGTAACAAATAGTGAATGGGCTTCACCCATCGTAGTTGTACAAAAGAAGGATGGAGATGTACGGGTATGTGTCGATTTCCGAATATCGGTGAACAAAGTCTTAATTGCTGAACAATATCCCTTGCCAACAATGGATGATATTTTTTCATCATTGGCAGGTGGTGAAGTTTTTACTGTGCTTGATCTAACGGGAGCGTATTCTCAGTTAAAAGTCGATAAGAGTTCTCAAGAACTGCTCACAATAAACACACATATGGGGCTATTTAGGTATACACGTTTAACATTTGGGTTAACGAGTGCTCCATCCATATTCCAGTCAGTCATGGATAGGATTTTAGTGGGAATTCCTAAGGTGAATTGTTATTTAGATGACATTTTAATAGCTGGTAAGGATTTTAAAGAATGCTATTCGTTAGTCTGTCAAGTCTTAGATCGTTTGGAAAAATACGGAGTCAAAGTAAATTTGTCAAAATGTAAATTTTTTGTAAATAGTGTGGAGTATTTAAGGTCATTGTATTGACAAAGAGGGAATTCATCCTACAGCAGAAAAAGTACGAGCCATAATGGAGGCACCAAATCCAGAAAATGTAACTCAATTAAGGGCATATCTTGGCTTATTAAATTATTATGCAAAATTTGTGCCGATGTCATCATCAAAATTGTCACCTTTGTATTCATTATTAGAAAGAGATACAGAGTTTATATGGTCACAGGAATGTAAAAATGCATTTGAGCGTAGTAAAAAGCTAATTGAACAAAACCAGGTTCTGGTACATTATGATCCAATAAACACAATTGTAATATCAAGTGATGCCAGCTCATACGGGGTCGGTAGTGTTTTGAGTCATCGTATTAACGGAGTAGATAGACCAGTATTTTTTGTATCTGGGACGCTATCAAAAGCAGAAAAAAATTATTCTCAAATAGAGCGGGAGGCATTAGCCATAATTTTCGGAATAAAAAAATTCCACAAATTCATTTACGGACGGAAATTTATTCTAGTATCAGATCATAAACCGTTAAAAGTCATTTTTAATCCAGAAAAGGGAATTTCAGTAATGTCAGCTTCACGTATAGTTCGGTGGAATGTAATGTTGTCCGCATACGATTATAGTATTGAGTATAAAAAAGAGGTCGACTTGAAAGAAGCAGATGCTCTTTCTCGTTTACCATTGAAGGAGCCTACTAATGTGGAGTCGTCGATAAATTCATTCAGTACGGGAAATGAAATACCATTATCTAGCGTAGAAATAGGTAAATTGTCAGAAAAAGATCAAATTTTGATCAAAGTTAAAGATTTTATCCTAAGAGGTTGGCCAAACCAGGTCAAAGATCCTGTAATAAAACCATTTTTTCCAAAACGAGGGGAATTATCAGTTGAGGGAAATTGCGTTATGGTTGGTAATAGAGTAGTAATTCCGGAGGTGTTGAAGTCAAAAGTTTTGGAACTAATTCATGCTGATC